AGGAGGCATTATTAAATATACAAACATTTTATAGGGCAGTAAAATATCCTATTTAAAACATCGATGTCTTCTCAGGGTTTATAGAAAGGTTATTATTTTCTCATAGTAATCAGTATTTCAATTTAAAAATGATGACAATAAACTCAAATGCCTACTATGACAACCCACTCATTACTTATATTGGAAGTATAAACCTTGATATCTCCAAGATGCATCACTCAAATCATATAAAGATAATTTACCATTCAACTATTTACTTCATGTAGAATCCATGCTGAAAATATTGATTTAGGTGTTATATGCACTTTAAGTAGACAATGCGCGCCTGGTAAATTCCTTTGTTTTGGCGCCAAAATATTTTTCGCAGCGCACAATAAAAGCTTTCAGTATTCTGACCACCGGTAAACAGGAAAAAAGCCATTTCACTGGCTCAGAACATCAAGTCCGCCATTGGCAATCAAATTTGGTGCACTAGAGAGGTAGATTTCTAGCACGCATGTGATGAAACGTAGCTTGCGCACGGTTACACGGTGCAGTTTCGTTGCCGGGACAACGTATTACGATAGCTACACATTAGAACTTTTCTAAGACGGTGAACATTGGGTGCATTGGGAGCTTTGGTACAAACACGTCTTTTGAGTCCAATATCATTCCGTCATGAACTGCTAGTGTCATCGTTTTGGTGAATTCAAAGTCGCTTCTGCGTGGTACGTTACATAACGACCTCAACTTTTCCCACAACACCTTTGTGCAAAAGGTTGCATGCCAAATAGGGCCCTTTGCAACAAACAGTCAAGTGCTGATATATCACTTTGATAACGAATCAATTCAGCTCAAGGTCCCTTGAGGAAAGCTCTGCTGGTGGCAAACAAACTTTAAATTGCTTCGTATCTTAAAATCGAAAGTATATATCTTATAAGGGAATAAAGGTTTTGAACATGGCATTAGTTATCAAGCTAAAGCTATTTAAATAAAGGAAGTCCGAATTTTTTGCCGACCAGTAACAGTCATGTGACTATTTCCTTCGAATGGATGGCTTTGCACCACCACGTGACGGCAGCCATGTTAGATAGCAGGAACAATACAATCGTTGTACATAAGAAACAATTCGATTCTCGAGAGCAAAGGCATCTTATTGTTCTGCCATCTAACCACAGGCAGTCCAAGCGGTATTATGGGCGTCGGCAAGTGATGGTGCAAAGCCTCTATAGATCGTTTTCTCAAGGTTGCGTGCGTATCCAACTAATATATGCAAATATATGATAATCCTCATTATAAAGCTCCTGTTCTGGAGTCGTGGCCCGTCAAGTTCCTTGAATTTGGATGCGCACGCAGCTATTGTCGTGTCACATTCACTTTACGTATATATGGTTTGTAAGAAAATGGATTGTTCTAAATAACACTATTTTTGAATACTGACAGCCAAACTCCAATGTCTGTGCACCGAGTGTCCAAAAGCTGTGTGTACCTCACACTATGGCTGTTACATCGACGTCAAAGAAAAAAGAATAAATACTACGCATGCGCGGCAGAAGATCACTTATGGCTGTATTGAGGAGTATAATATTACAATTTGTAAGCGGCATGAATGGGACGCCATAAAACGAACTCGAAAACTCCCAATTTGTTGCAGTGATGAAGACCTCTGCAATATGCCCTTACTTCTAAAAGGTATGTCTATTAAAATTATCAGTCCCTGTCAACTCGAGAGACGCGTTTCCTTGAATCTCTCTTTCCTCAATAGCTAATTAACTTCAAATTTATTCGTACAATTCACCGATCCCGAATTCAGTGTTATAGCTAAATTGTGCAGTAGATTTTTTGACATTTATTTTAGTCGAGTTTCATTTCCTGAACGAGAAAGTTTGAAAAACCGAAAGCCACAATTGCCCGTTGTCTTGTCCTTTTGTATAGCCCCTATGCAAGACTCAAGTAAATTGATGGGCGACCCTCTATTAAGCGGCCACTCTTAACTTGAATAGGTGTAATCTAGAGCAGAAACACTCTTTAGGACTTTGGTAGTTGGCGCTTTTTACAGTGGTATAAATTAGTGCACAAATATCATTTTGCACTTTGACAATAGAACCCTTCACAGTTCCCTGCGCCATCTTGAAAGGTATAGCCGTGCCTTTGCATCGAAGCGAGACGAACGGTGAGCTTGCAATGATAGAGACCTTTTTTAACACCTTGAACAATTATTCACATGTCTCTATCATGTGAAAAAGGCACGGCTATCTTTCAAGATGGCGCAGGGAACTGTAAAGGGGACTATTGTCTTTAAATAGTCCGTTTAATAAATGTTTTGACATAATAGTATTTCAATTTCTTGCAGATGTAATTGAAAGAAAACACAAGAGCAAACAGGCATACTGGAAAAGAAGACAGAGACTTCGTGACAACAACAAACAACCTTGTCCTGAAGTTGAGCCTGCAATCCAATTAGCCAGCGTAATATTACCCAGCATCCTCATCGCAGTTGTATTTTTGATTTCGTTTCTTCTTTTCGCGGAGCTAATTCGACATCGCAAGCTTTACGTCTGTGAAAAATCACCCGAGAATCAAATCTCCCCCAAAAGTAAATGCAAATGTACTAATCAAGAATTATCCTATGATTTGACTTCGGACACTAGTTCAAGCTTGACTCTGTCGTCATTATTGGCGAAATACTGAATGTAAAATTTATTTTATTTCATTTTAGAAATATGTGAATAATTGTCCAAGGTGTTAAAGAAGGTCTTTATCATTGTAAGCTCATCGTTCGTCTCGCTAGGCACGGCTATCTTTCAAGATGGCGCAGGGAACTGTGAAGGGGACTATTGTTACTGGCCGGTTTAGACATTAATTTTAGGGAGGGGAGATGATGAAAATAGGGGATTTACGTCCATGACAGAAAGGTGACAGAAAGTAAGTGTACACAAGGAAAACCAGTAAGGACCAACAGTGAATGACAGAGCATAACGAATGAAGATCCACTAACTATACATGCAATTTAGCATGATGCTGAATAAGGTCTTATAACATGTTATAAGATGAGAATATGTGGTAGCACTTATGAAATACAAGATATAGAAATATAGATAAGTTATAGTGCTTGGGAACGAGGTTAATCCGGGCGAAAGTCCCCTGGAAAATAAATTCGGTATAATTCATTTCCGCCCTCGCTGGGAATCGAACCCACGACCTTCGAAGGTCTTATAAGTTTGTGCGAGCGGCAATAAGTACAAACAGTGGAAAAAAGGGACAGCAATACTTGAATATCAGAGCGTTTTACATTATGGGACACTGTTTTAGGGGGCGCTTAATTACTTATATGGCGTCTATTTTGTTTGCTGATAGTGAAAAGTGAAAGAGAAGTGATAGGAAACTGAGTTAATTTTCGAATTTATTTCCTTTCTTAATGCATGCATATGAAATGTCCGACTGATCGATGAAGCGTCCCTCAAAACACCACCATATAATGCGAAGCATTTCTACAGCTCTGGGCCCAGTTGTTCAAAGCCCGATTAGTGCTAATCCTGGGTTATCTCTTAATATGACCTATAGAGTTCATCCTGGATTAGCGCTAATCCAGCTTTGAACAACCCGGCCCTGCAAAGGCTAAGACTAAGGGTGGCCTTATAAGCCACTTAAAACAAGGAAGGTGCCGGAAGGTGATTATTTGGACATCAAGGTCTTTTTTGAATTCGATAAATAGGACGCACTGTTGTCTAGCTTGGGTACAAACAACACTATATAAAGCAACGTGAATTGTACCCAAGCTATAGACCACAAGGCACTAGTTTGCTATCTTAAAAAGCTGTATGGTATGAATGCCTCGATTTTCACCAGTCTCCTCCTTCAACCTTCTCATAAAAATAAGTTCCATAATCGGCACCACAAATTTGATACTAATAAGTGAAATATCCCAAAAGCAATACAACGTCTCAGTACAATGACTTGATTTTTAGTCGTAGCAATTAAATACATGGAAATGATTTTCTACTAAGTTGCCTATTTCTATAGCTGCACTCGCCTATACCTCAGTGACTTAGAATACAACTGAAACACGAGTGATTTGTCCAAGAACTATGAACTATTCTCAATATATCATTCTAAAAAGCAGACTTAAATTCTACTGACGCATTTGTCAGACAGATTGTTAATAGCAATAAAAACCTACTATATTACGATTAAGAGTAAGACTTGCGCACTGTGTGCCGGCCTACATGGTAGTTTTCCACTTGTGTGAACTAAACCCTACTAACGTACTGTTCTGAAAATTTCAAAAAATCGACTCACAGTTTTGAGAAATATTTACAAAGTTTTCGATCGTTAAAGTAGGGACTTGATTGTTATGTGCTTGCTTTATCAAGATTATATACAGATTATATTTGATTATATACAGATCATAACTGATTATGTATACAGATTTTAGAAAACTCATTAATAATTCATGAAGAAAACACAATAGAAATCATGACCATGAAGGAGGTTTTATATCTGATATAGATTCGTCTTCATTTGCATAAACTTTAACTTGGATTTTCTCTATCAAACTTGGTTCATTTCGTAAAGAATTCTGTACAATATGAGAACATACATCATGAGTTTTCTAAGCCGTTCAATAAACTCGCAGATCGTGTTTTATCGGGTCTAAAACCACTCGGCTACGCCTCGTGTTTTATACCCGATAAAACACTCCTGCTCGTTTATTAAACAGTACATAATTGATTATATACAGATTATAATTGATTATATGCAGATAATTGATTACATACAGATCATAATTGATTATATGCAGGTAATTGATTACATACAGATCATAGTTGATTATATGCAGATTATAACTGATTACATATACAGATCTAGATTTGATCACATACAGATTATAATTGTTTATATACAGATCTAGATTTGATTTTTTACCACAATTGTAAATTTTCTCGCGCGCTGATTGGTTAAAAAACGTCGTAAATAAGAGGCCATACCAACAAATGGCGTCATGCAAGATTTCGTGCAGTCTATTTCCTAGAGTTTTGTGAGTTTTGTAGTAAAAAACAAATTTACGATGGTTTAGCGTGGTATGTCCTCTTATTTACCACGATATGACGCCAAACGTTGGTCAAAATTAGTTATGGACCCACTCGGCTTACGCCTCGTGAGTCCATAACATTTTGACCAACTTTTGACGTCATATCGTGGTAAATAAGAGGACATACCACGCTCAACCATCGTAAATTTGTTAAATATACAGATCTAGAATTAGAGACAATCAGATATTCCGCGTCTCTAAGACTTTGATAACTTCTAGATTTGCAGTGGGGTTTTGGGCAATCCTCGTGGCACAAAAATAAACTTAGACCAACTGCGGAAAATAAGGTTCCATAACCATTTTAAATTACTCCTGGCCTTGATTGATGGACGCAGAATAATCATCGGCTTTTGCATTGATACCATTCATTATTAATGTCACAAATGACATTTCTGGTCCAGGTTGGTTTAAAATTTCGAAACTAACCAAAATTGGTCAGTGGTCCCAAAACACCTGTTAGTCCTGTGGCACTCCCTAGCACACGAATTCTAACTCACCGGCTCCGGTTGTCAGTCATGCAGATAAATTCAAGTTTATGTGATTGCAAATAAGCTTTTTACTGATACGGAGTCCACCTTGAATTATAGGAATCCAAGGGGGCAAACGTAAAAAATTTATAAAGCATAGAGTAGCAGGAGTGCGTCCAAATAATTTGAAGTCTTAGTGTTTCACATATTGTTCCAACTACCAGAAAAATCAATTGCTTTTTAGGACCGAGTGTGCTCCTCATTGAAAAGCGTAAACTTATAGAAATCGACATCCTAACACCTGTACGGTCTATGAATTTTTCAAAGGAATTCAAGATGGCCGCTGTATCGCTAAAAAGGCTTATTGGATGGGTAGTGTTCTTGTGGTCTCATATTTTCTGATTGTAAATGATTGGAAAACTTTTAGCTCTTGCAAAAGTTCTAAAGGTATATGACCCCTTCTTCATACTTAATAGACTCCAAATGCAAATTTAATTTTCTGGACATTTCATTAATACTAAAAGTACAAAGTGTTCTTAAAAACTTGCTTTGGTTGCCATTTCTTGATCCGTATTAGAACTGACTGGAACAGGATTTTCCTGTCCCTCCGTGTTACAATCGCTAATGCATGAATTCCGCTTGCGAAGAATTTCCAACATAAACATTATGGAGTTGAGAAAACAGGATACGATAGTCAAGTTGATCAGTAACAACGGCAAGTTAAAGAGAAGTAGTGCCGTCATGGAAGCGTCACTTACGTTATTTTTACTTATAGTCTCTCTAAAATCAAGAATGTAGTCTCCGAAACCTATGGTGGACAGGGTGACGAACGACGCATAGATTCCTTCGAAATAACCAGTTTGATTGAGCGTTACATAAAGTTCTGCGCCGTATGCATGAAGAGCAATGAATGCTGCGAACGAAAACACGACACATTTAAAATGAAGGTTTTTCGTTTCTTGTTTTTGTAGAAAGCGTCTTTCGAAGAAGATAATGAGCTTCTTAACAACGTCGTGCATGAGCTCGCCAGTTGTTTTGAGGGTTACCATGGTGAAGGGTAAGCCAATCACAGCAAAGAAAATGAATACCATTTGTCCCGTTAAGGTTCGAGGGGTCAAGTCACCAAAACCTGTTAACAAACAGGAAACAAAAATACGAATAAAAATACAATTGCATATCTGAATCAAAACAAAATGAAAACAGCTACGTTAAAATACATTTGCCTTGCCAGTAAAAAAAAAAAATATCTTACCAATCGTAGTCAAAGACTGAATGACAAAATCAACAGTTTTCCAATACTTCCAGTCCGGTCTTTCTCTAACCTTCACCGCGCCAGAAATTTTGTTGACCAAAGCATCAAAATGTTCCTCGGAGATATTGGCTCCAAGAAGCCTAGAAATATTGTTTTTGACCTCTTCTAGCATTCTGTTAGCAACTACAGTGTTCGGTTCACCTGTCTGTTCAATGATCATAAATACTGCAGACCAGATCAAGACGTACGCTGTTAAAGCTACTAATCTCTGGAACGCCTTTCTCTTCAAGCTGTATTCAGTCATGATAAAATGTAAACACGACCAAGATTCGAAAACCTTGTTTGAGAAACGTCCTGTAAAACCGTTAAACGGAACGGAGCGGGTAAAAAACTAAGTATAGAGTGTAATGAGAATGGGTCCATAAGATTGATGAAACTGTCATTAACATAAATATGTATTATAAGATTGTTATGGTAATAAATGAGATATCTCTAAGGAAGCCGCGATAAAAATTAAAACACTTGAGGCATTATTTTTCATTTGAATGATAAGTCAGTTTCTGTCGTAGCTCAGCATGAAAGTGACTTCTATTTATTCATAACTACGGGTTCAATAAAGTCGTTCATTTATTTTTCATTATCATCGACCACTCTTTTATATTGCCTTGAAACGAAGAGGTCTAACTAGGCACGAAAAAAACACACAAACAATATAAACTTATATTTCAATAAAACAGTCACCTGAAAAGCTCCAATGCGAAGACCGGCAAGGATTATGGGGAGATATATTTTTTGCATGTTTTCAACTGCTTGATAACTATTACTGATCTAGTGGACTTGAGATCTTTTGCCAGTTACAGACTTTTACTCCTTTAGAGCATCCTTAGTTTGTTTAGTTTAGTTTAGAACTATTTCGCGCTATATACACATGTCTACATGTATAATCAATTTTCAAGGTAAATTAATTATGTAAATAAATAAATTATAAGAAAATTACAAGAAGGAAGAAGAAAAAAAGGAAAAGAAGAAGAAAACTATAAATATCAGTGTGTAGAACTGGAGAGCTAGAGTAGCTTAAAAGTTTTCGAGCTAGTTCAAGCTGCAGTTTGCATCAAAAGCATTACTTATTGACCATGAAATGTTTTCCATGATTCTCATCAATCTTAAAATCTCTCGCTTTTAGTTCGTATTAGTGAATAATGCGTCAGAGCAAAAAAAAAAAAAAAAAAAAAAAAAAAAAAAAAAAACTAATAAAAAGCACTAATTCAATATTTGTTGTCAAGAAAACTTGAAAGAAATGAAAAGATCAAATGAATTGACGATTCAAACTAAGAACACAATTTTTGAAATACAAAGACAAAGTTTATTATCTTCGTATTTACGTTGTCTCTGGATGAAGGGCAGGTGTTATGAGCAAATAATAAGATTTTTTATGTGCTTTTTAAAACTCATAAGAATAAAACCTTTACGAATCTGAAACTGAATATCAGCCAAAGAAACAGTATGGGGATACTGAACTAGATGGATTACACGAGCGATGCTCATTTATTCTCGTTTTTCACACTGCTATATGTTAGAAGCAATAGAAGACGTTCAAAACATTAAAACTAAGAACGCCCTGAACAGCAATTGGCGAGAATCAATTTGCGATTTGTGACGGAAAAGAAAAAAAAGCCCCACGCTTTTATATAACTTGGAAATATATGTAAAAAAGCAATAGAAGACGTTAAACAAACGCCCTGAACAGCAATTGGCGAGAGTCAATTGGCGAGTTGTGACGAAAAGGGAAAAAACCCGCGATTTTATTTACCTCGGGCATTCCTAAAATAGGATACCCAAATAAAAACCGTAATCTAACGCTTACCTATATTTATACTATTGTGATTTTTGTCAACTGTACTGATTTTACTGTCATTGAAAACGATCACGAGTTGGAACTTCAAATAAGTGCCACCCGGTTAGCTCAGTTGGTAAGAGCGTCGGTCTGTTGTGCGGGAGGTCGTGGTTCAAGCCTCGGCCGGACCAACACTCAGGGTCTTAAAATAACTGAGGAGAAGGTGCTGCCTTTGTAATAATATCTGCAAATGGTTAGACCTTCAAGTTTTCTCGGACAAGGACTTTAAACCGTAGGCCCTGTCTCCTAACCCTTCCTAACCTACAGTAAAAATGGGGGACATAAAAGAACCACTGAGGACGTAAAAAGAAACCCTGGCAGTGACCACCCTCAGTGCCTACACTTCATACTAACCATCTCTCATGCTTGTAAATTGCATAAAGCAATCTGTCATTCACAACTCCATGTAAAGCGCCTTTGATTATATCCACATATTAAAGGGCGCTATATAAATCATAAATCATTATCATAATCATAATCATAAGTGGGATCGGTTCAAAACTTCACTCAGTGTAATCTTTTAAGTCTATAAATATCACGGGAAACATTAACTAAAGTCGGACTGATTTGCGTAGTCATTTACTTTGTTATTCTCTCATTCTTTCTACGTGTGAGACTGAGCTATGTGAAAGATTGGACTGGCAACAACTTCTGGTTCAAAAGAAGAAGTATGAAACATTTACTATAAGGTCATTTGTGCAGTTGTTAACTTCGTTATTTGAATAGTCTTTCTACATGCGAGAGCTGTGTAATTTTGCGGTCCGGCCAAAGGAAGATTGCTAACGACTTCTGGTGCAAAGCAAGTAGGTTTATAAAAAGAAAACATTCGGGCACCTTTTTGCATGTCAGAGGCACTGTATGCCGAATCCGCGCCCTGGCTTTGAATGGTATACATGAGTTCAAAACGTGAATAGACAAAGGCATAAAATGAAGACCCTGAAATGAAGCATCAAAAATCTCAATAGGTAGAGGTAAACCCTGTGCGAATGAGTCTGCAATCAAGGAACACAGCGGTAATTTAGAACTCGAAACTGGTCTATCCCATCTCTTACATGAGATGCTGCACATAATCATACTTCACACGGCTTATGGATAATTAAAAGCATCAACTTTCCAAGGGTAAAGTCTAAGGAAAGCGATTTTATAGATTCATTCCCAAGGCTGGCTCTCAGTCCTTACTTTAATTCTATATTCCACAGGAAGCCCAAATAAAAACGTTACAAAATTATCATTTTCTTTAATTTTCAGAAGTTGGTATTTTTATAATTATTATATACAAATGCCTTTACAAAGCCCTTAACAAGGCGAAAGCCTCATGCATTAAAAAAGCTATTCTCCAATACCTTAAAACCGATAATTTACGTGGCACGTTTAGTGTGGAATATCAGTCGTAAATATTGGAAATACATGCAGTATTAATCAGTGTCAGTGTTAGTATAACCTTCTAAAACGTAATCATTGCAATGTCAGCTATTCTGAAGTGACCTAAAATAATATTTTATATGCTATTCCTGATGCTTTGATCATGATTTGATAATTAGTATATCAGTTATATGCTAATGTTATTTAAAGTGCCTATCACCCTTCTGACAATATTCTCAGTATTGATTCTACATGGGGTAGATTAATCTGGGGAAAAAATATAGTTTGAGTGCGGTTTCTTGAAGTTATGGAGGTTTTTCCATGTCATGTGCTAATTCTGTGATGTATGAGGAGGCATTTATGGTTATTTGTTGTTCCTCGTAATTCGAAACACCGGCTTCTATGGGAAAACTAACTTGCAATCATTTCTATAAGAGCAATGGGGAAAACAATGACGTATTTCAAATTTAATTTATCTGTACCAGTAGTGTTTTGTATATTAAATGATTACTCCTCATACGTCACAGCATTAGCATATGGCATGGAAAAACCTTTAAGACTTCAAGAAGTTGCACTTAAACTATATATTTTTTTAGTGTTATTCAACATCTTACCCCATGTAGAATTAATACTGTGAATATTGTCAGAAGGGTGATAGGCACTTTAATCTTAGTGCATCAGTCCACTTTCCTCTTTATAGTATGCTATGCAGCAAAGTATTCCTCCTCGATTACTGGGTTTCACTTGACGTCATTTCCTGTCTCGTGCAGAATGTTCATCAGCTGAATCGCAAGTTTTCAATTTGCTGGGTTCAACTTGACGTCATTTCCTGTCTCGTGCAGAATGTTCATCAGATGGATCGCAAGTTTTCGAAACAGAATTCTTTCTGGCTGACAGCATATGGTGGTTAGTGTTTGACTTTCATTTTGAACAGATGAGATTCAAAGGCTTTTATCAGCTGATTGAAACCACGCAATAGACTACAGTCCCGTATACGAGCATGTACTGATCAATCTGGTAGACAAAGAGTTTGATAGGACAAGGAACCAGAGATATCGTTCTTTCATTGATTGAATTATCCCAAATTCCATAACCGAAATGTTAGTGACGAGATCACAAGTGGCAACTGCCGTTGAAGAGAGAAGAAAAATCGCTGACAATGAAGAAGATAGTTCCTGTAATGAACACTGTCCCAAGTAAAGTAAGTTCTAAGTAATGAGTTCCCGTTCTTTCATTGATTGAATGATCCAAAATTCCACATGACCGAAATATTAGTGACCAGATCACATTAAGAGTGTAGAAAAGTCGCTGACAATGACGAAGACAGTTAAGACAGTTCCAAGTTAAGTAGCGTTAATTTAATAAAATAAAAATACCGAAACGTTTTCCTGAAGTTCTTGTTATGAAAATCAGTGTCAAGCACGTTGTAGTCGCCAATGGTGAATTTTGTAACGGAAGCGAACATATCATACGGTCAAGACAGTTACATCAGTCAAAACAGCATCTATTAAAAATCGACCCAAGATGAACGACGGTAGAAAAGGTAAGAGTAGTAAAGGTATAGACCAAGGGTGAAGAAGAATCGAAGGAATAGTCTGATATATATGCCATTTGTCGAGACTCAAGTTGCAATCAAAACTAATGTGTAGAATTGAATAAACCATTATGGTACATTAATATAACAGATCTAACCAGATGATCGACGACGTCACCGCTGCTTGTTCTTTTCGATCTCTTCGATTATTGCCAACAGTTTTTGCCTTCCTTTCTTGGTGATGTGAGACCCTACGCCACACGTGACTAAACTGGTCACGTGTTTACTGGAGTATTCCTGTCGAGTAATGAGGATTAGGTTAGCCTTACATCATCACACATGAAGTAAAAAACGCTTGTTATCGCAATTCACAAGTACGACAGTGACGCAACTCAAAGGGGTCGAAGTGAAAGGAATTTAGGATGTAACTGATGTTTTTACCGTGTATAAATAAGGTTTTTTCTGTCTACCTCTATATGCAGTCCATTTAAGACCCACGGGAGAATAGCTTTAATCAGTTTGAATTAGTTAGTTGAGAGGAGGGAGGAAAAACTGGAGACATGGCTGGAAAATGCACAGAGTCAGAAAGAAAGCCAACCAACTCAGCTCACGTGGGGGACTGGGAATCGAATCCCAATCGTGAGGAGAGATGCGAGAAAGAAAGACAGACAGACACCAGGAAGGGGCGAACCTCTCCCCTCACACCTACTTGATAATACAGACACACAGATACAAAAGACGGTAAGACAGACAGACAGACAAACATCATACATTTACCTTGTGTTCACGTATCCATCTCTCCATTTCATTTTCGGTCAAGTAAAAGGCTTTGACATAGGTTTCCACGTATTCTCTATCAGGTATAGGTCTGGTGGACAAAAATAGCACGATGATTGTAAAAACTGGCAGGTTTTCATAGAAACCCAATTTTGCAACTTTCCGCTTCATTGGAACAAAGCAAAAATATATATTTTCGTATTGACACCTAGTTTTGGAATTAATGCAAAGTCACAAGTGGAAAATGATGCATGCGCATACTCTAACTCCCTATTCTTATGCAGTAAGTGAGTAAGTGAGTAAGTGAGTAAGTGAGTAAGTGAGTAAGTGAGTAAGT